TCCAACTCAATTAACTTTACTCAAAAACATTAAAAAGTTAATGAAGTTGAAAGTTATAACTGTGGTTGAAAGTTATAACCGCGGTTAAAAGTTATAACTACGGTTAAAAGTTATAACCATGGTTGAAAGTTATAACTGTGGTTGAAAGTTATAAGCACGGTTAAAGGTTATAACTATGGTTGAAAGTTATAACTACGGTTGATAGTTATAACTAAATTAACTTTTCAACCAAAAAGTTGATCGGTTATAACTCAAAAGTTATAATTTGAGTTATAACTCGGCTAGTTTTAACTCCCACACTGGTGAAAATGGAACTTAACTAGAGACATTTTTTTTATTGATATTTTTGCAAATAAGTCTTTATAACTTGCTTAATAAAAAAATAATAATTTGGTACATTATTTCTAACTATTTCGTATATTGTAATAAGCTCATGTTTAATATGAAGGCATCGTAGAGATGAACAAAAGATACAGTCTTAAGGCTTATTGTTTCTGATTATGTCATATAAAAAAACTAAAATAACGGGTTCAATAGATTTGTTAATATTGTTCTATGCATTCTATATATATTTCATGTAACTCTCAAACCGGACAAAAAACAGTCTGTAAACCAATCGATATAATGTGTGCTATGTCAGCCTTATTCGCCGTTCATAATAAAAGCTCCGGTATATGTGCAATCGATCGGCGGTAGTTCAATATTTTACCGAGATCAGTTATCTTCTAACTCTAATTGTATCACGGTACATTGATGGTTATGTGAACAAAATATGTAACATGAAATATATGTCTATATGTTTTCAAATTTTTCTTGGGTGTAGGAAACAGAAAAATTTTGAAATAGTTTCTTTAATTTTCTTTTTACAGTTCATGAATTGAATTTTACAATTGAATATTGTGACAAAACAGAAAAAATAAAAATATTTGATAATCAAAGTGTTGGTATGTAATTTTAATCTTTTTGTTTTTTTTTCTTAAATAAAATTATTTATATTTTTTACCTGTTTGAAAGATCAATTGCGAGTGAAAATATTTGAAAAACTTTCTATTTCACCGAATAAACAATATTTTTTCAATTGGACAATGAAAAGTTATGATGATCACGTATGAGATTTCTTAATAAATAAATCTTTTTTTTTTTTGCGTTGTATAAAAATTGAAATTTTTATACAATATTAAAAGATCTGAATTTATCAAACGACAATACAATACATCTTACATCAATAGAAAATGGATCTGCTATGTAACACATTAGCTTTGTCTTAAGATAAAAAGTGAAAGAATCTTTTTTTTTTAAATTTCAGTCGAATTCGTAATCATACAACTTCATCATCAAAAACTTCAAATGAATTTCCATTAACGGTGCTATGTAAAGATAAATCAGGCAATTCGATAACTCATAAACTTGTTTTACAACCAAATACAACTATAAGTGAAGTTCGTTTTTAGTTTTGATGTTAATAAAAAATGAAATAAGTATTTGTTTTTTTTTTTTTTTTTGTTATTTAGATAAAAAAACAAATTGAACATTTAACTCATATACCAGTTGAAGAACAAAGTTGGCAAGGTTTATTAGGTGCAGAAGACTCGGTAATATTTAAAGCAAAAAAAGAATGCATTTATATTATATTCTATTTTCTAATTTTAGGATGAATTACATCAAACATTAATTACATCTCAAACACCTTTAATTGTTAATCAATCGGATACCTCATCAAATCAACAAATATCAACAATTAGAAAAGATATTAAAGTAAATAGGAATTATCTAAATTTCGACCCGATCTCAAATTTCTCTCATTATCTTCCTTACAAAATGCAATTTACTTACCAAACGCAATGTGTTCTTCTGATAAGATCGTTTTTAATAAGAATGAATCAAGTTCTTGATACATTAGAAGACTTAGGTGCTGTTATTCTATATTATCATTCATAAGTTATAAGGATAGATCTTCTTTTTAAAACCAAAAAGAGTCATATATTTTGATATTCTAGCCAATAATTCTTTGTGTCAACACGAGTTTATTTCACTCATATCATATGCATTGAAAGAGAAAAATGAGACAATCGTTGGTAGGAACAGTATTCTTAGAATAATATAGTCAACATACCCTAACATCTTGGTACAATATCTAACGGCACTTTTTTCTAATTAATTATATCTATCACTGATAACATTTAGCTTTCTCAATAACTGAAAAAAAAGGAAATTAAATCTTTTTTTTTTTGCTAAACTTATTTAAGTCAGTTGCTTATATTGCAGTTGGAAATAGTATTGATGGATTTCGTTCACAAGGAAATGTACTATTTTTATAATTAACAGTCCCGAGCTAATTTCAATGAATGTGATTGTTTGTCAAGAAATAATTTAAAGAAAATAACAGCTGAGTACACATCCAGTGTTTTTATGTGTGTGTGTGTCAAAAAATATTTTTTAGATCCCTTTTTGCGAAAAGAAAATACTTCATAGAACAACACTCTGTATTTACATCTGAATATATGTTTTCTTCAATTATGAATGTGCTGTTTTGTGATAAAAATCTTTTGGAATTTCTAGAAATACAAAACGAAACACAAGGGAAGGTTTATTTTTCGTATAAAGGATCTAAAGAATTTCTCTCAGATAATACTATAAAAGAACACTGAAGTGACTCTACTATATGTTTTTAATAAGGAAACGCATATTTAAATAAACTGTTTTTTTTTTCTGTTAGCTGTTTCTCAAGATTTTTTAAACTCGAAACTGACATGTTGCTATGACAACAGAAGCAAAACATTGTTCATACTGAACTTAAATATTATTATGGACATGAGTAATAAAATAATCAATAAGTTGCACAAATTCTAGAAAAAAAGTCAGTTTTTAGAGAGGGTTTTCTAATGTGTCAAAGGATTTACTGGTAAGCAAAGTATCATCTTGCGGGGCACTACATTTTAAAGACTATATATATACCACTAATTACTATAGAGTGTACCAAATATTCGTAGAAATGAGGAATAATGAGAGAAATTTTAGATCGGGCTACAATTTTGATTTTCTCTAAATAGAGTAATGTTCTTTTTTTTTTTATAAATTAATTTATTATTTATAAATAGCGTTCGATAATATCACCTGATCGAAGTGAAGATGAACTAATGGATATTGATCATGATAATGATTTAGATTCATATGACGATGATGTTACTGTTTTATCTGCAAATAATCCTAATACAACATTTAATAAAAGAGCAACATTAGGTTGAGAACCACTCAGTAAGTTCAAATTTTGTATCGAATACAATATGGATTTTAAAGAACGAAAATTCAATTTTATTTTTTATGCAAAAAATTTAGCTTTCGTGAGTGACCAAGTCAAATAAGAAAAGAATCATACATATAACATCTCTACTATTGTGTAATGAAGAAAAGCTTTGAAAATTTTGATAGAGAAAAACTGAATTTTTCTTCGTATGTGTCTATATACTTCACTTATGCGGTATTTTATGCAAAGTAATTAATCTCTTTTGAAATAGGTCTTACATTATTAAGTAAATAATATTGAAATTTTAGAAAGGTTCAAAAGAATTCTTGCATATGGATTTATCTCCGTGAGTGATGACTATTTTAATGAGCTTTTCAAAAAGAAATACTAGAGCTTACTCACTTTATCCCTAAAATATACTTTTGAGTTTTAAATGCAAATTTTGCACAAATAAAGTTCTTAACAGATACAATTCACTATGAAAATGTTTGAGTTTCTAGTGTTTTTTATTCTTAGATATCAATATTGATAATTTTATTCTACGTAATAACAAACTTTCTGCTTATATCTATATCTCTGAATATGATCTATGAAACAGCTTGATGCTTCCACAATGAGTTGCAAAGTTGACTAAAATGATCCTACTCAATAAGATCATCCTAATGAAATAAGACTCATCTCAAAACCGATTTATTCCTTGACAAGATTTTCTTATAAATACTTTTGATCTCAATTCCAATAAGTTTTTATTGGTAATTCTAGTCTAGCAAGCAGGAACTGAGACCGAAACTGAATGCTAGTTCTGTAGATGTCTTACTGTAGAGTTACACATTCAAGCATTGTCTTACAATCCATAATATCTGATAATTACTTTTTTATATTACTGAATCCGACCAACTCATGTTTTACAAAACCATGAATTCCCATATATATTGATAATATACTCTCATAGGTCTTGTTGTTATATCTCTCTCAAGCGTTAAATATTTCAACAAAAAAACAACTGACAATACTTTATAGTCTTAGTCAGGGGTGTCAGCGTTACCATTTCTAGGAATTGAACGCAAAAGTGATACACCCAGTCTTGATTCAATGACTCAAATCAGTATTAAAACTAATTCTATACATGTTTGCTCATCTATGCTTATCAATCTTATCCAATGATGTTCTTAATACAGAGATATCTGTAAAACTGCGAACAGTTATGAATACTGTCAGAGTTGGAAACAAAAATACAGTTCGAAATGATTATCATACGGATACACATAATAGGCCACGTTTTTTGTTTTCTTCTTGAACATAGTCTTTATTGTGAACATGGACACTCATGGTTGCTTTGAGTTTTACTCATACAAGATATTTTACAAATAAATGTTAAGGTAACTGTCATTACTTTTTACAATTAAAATTCAAGTACCACCCATGAGTGCCCTTGTAGTTCACAGTTTTTACAGATACACTCAATACAGTATTCCTTCTTGTAATTTTCTTTTTCTCTATACTGCAATGAAAGGATTTTTAAAAAAAGGTAACTTCCATAGTAACGAATATATTATTGTTCTTTTTTCTAATAATAATATATAAAAACTAATAATATTTTTTGTTAATATAGTTCCGGAAGGATGTACAAATGATGCATTTGGTCTTGAACATTTTTCACATGTTTTTCATGCACGTTATGGTTCAACAGGTCCTATTCTTTATATTGGTCCATTAGATCAAACAATACAAGATTCACTTTATGCATCAATACATACTGTAAATATAAATATATAAAACTTTTCTATAAAAACAAAAGACAATATTAATAAATAGAGACGTCCATTAGCTATTTATCTTCATAATGATCAATCAGTCTGTGCTAATGTATTTTGTTCTCAAGTTTTATCAGCTGATTCAATTCTTGAATATTTAGCAAACAATTATGTTCTTTGGGCTTGGGATGTTACATA